TTTTTTTTTTTTGAGACCGAGTCTCTGTTGCTCAGGCTGGAGTATGATGGTGAGATCTTGGGTCACTGCAACCTCCGCCTCCTGGGTCAAGTGAGTCTCCTGCTTCAGCCTCCTGTGTAGCTGGGATTACAGGTGGGGGCCACCATGCCTGGCTAATTTTTATATTTGTTGTAGAGACGGGATTTCACCATGTTGGCCAGGCTGGTCTCAAACTCCTGACGTTGTGATCTACCCACCTTGGCCTCCCAAAGTGCTGGTGGGATTACAGGTGTGAGCCACTGCATCTGGCCCCAAAACCTTTACTTTTAATATTATTAATTATGTATGACCAAATATGGTTCTGCCTTTCATTCAGCCAAAGATTGTTAGGGAGAAACAAATACTGTTTTAAAAGGTAAATATGGCACTGAATGTAATAGTGACAGTTTGGGGTTCATTAGGAAATTATAGTTTTACTCTCACAAGTTCTAACTCCCTTTGTGATGACTCTCAAAATAATTTATCTGCATTGCTGTTTTAACTCAGGAGACAAGTATGGAAGAACAAACTGTCAGATGAACAGTATTCTAAGATACCAATAACTTATTAGCAAAAGCTCGACAGCTGCTGTGCTAAAAATAAAATCCTAGAGCAAAGACAGACAAAAGGTGTATGCACAGTTACCAAAATCCATTCCAGCACTCTTTGGAGAACAAATGTCAAATGCATCTTTAAAATAGTGACAAACATTACCATGTAACACACATCTGGAAAAGTGATTAGGACTTTTTAACAATATATAATTGACATATTATGATTGAGACCTATATATAAAAAATGGGAAGCTATTGCTAACAAGTTTTCTTTTTGTATTTTACCTTTAGCAATACCTGAAAACCCAATGAATTAGCCACAGAACACTTTCCACTTTAAGTAAAGCCATGTAGATAAAACCAAGTCGTCTATGCTGAATTTATAGGGGGTGATATAATGCAAATAATAGCCTTCTTTCAAGTCAGCTCTTTTTATTCTATCATCCTAAGGAGACAAATTTACTCCAGTTAATGATTTATAAAGGAAGATTAACTTTGGCAAACTAAAAATAGGTGTTTTGTCAAATGCTGGATTAGTGTATGGCACAGCAATTTTCTATCTTAATCTGGTTTCTTTCTTTCTTTGACATTTCATCTGATCCTAAAAAAAACACTGAACAAGTAAAAGGAATAAATTTGTATCAGTTGAACTGGCTAGGTCTGGCCCATTAAGAATATGCTTGTCCTCAGAATATAGGTCTTTTATATCTCTATCAGGAAAATCAGAATTAAGTCAGATCAAAGACTAAATGTGATGTTCTGACTCTTGAAAGAAAAACATGGTTGATAGATGCTTCAGGAAAAAAAAAAAATTCACTATTTCCCCCAACTGCCTGTTCCCAAAATCCCACAACGCGTTTTCATTCCAAATTATAGACAGATGAAAACCACAAAAGCGAGTCCCTTTTAGAGGAACTTATATTTAATGCCCAGTAGGGTATATGATGAAGAAACCTCACATCAAATACAGTGCACACTGCTGTATTTATATTTTGGGTAGTTCCACTAAAAGCTATACTGCAAACAAGGAGCCTGTTGTAAAAGGATCACCTGTATAGTTAAACCACACATAGACACACAGCAAAACCAAACATGTATACTTCCCTCAGTGGAAGAAGTTGAAAATCTAGATCTAGAAAGGTATGAAAAATGGCCTTGAAAACCTGCTATACCAATACCTCTATAGACAAGATAAAAACAAAAACATCAAATGTTTGTTTTCCTGATTTTTCTTTAATACAGTTGCCCTCTTACATAATGTACTATTAGGTGCCTTCTTAATAGCATCTAATCTACCCTTCTGTTGCACCGGTTGGCCTCCTGGGATGGAACTCTTGTTACCACCCACATTTGTGGAGTACTGTTCTTCAGTATACTACGCCTAACCCATATGGTCAGGCCATGTACTTCACGGGTAGTGGTATTAATTTCTAAAACTGAATTAGCGCACACATCCAAACCACATATACTTTTCAACTTAAGAGTTCATACAAAGTCTATTTCCTTTCTACAGTAGCCATCGCTCCAGATTGTAGTTTAAAAATCCAAGAAGTGGGAAGAATGTCTTTGTATTCAATGCTTCCTTCTTCCATCCCTTCTGCCTTCCCTCCATGTTCTTTCTTCCATTCATTTCCTTCTTTATTCTTTTTCTTAGTGATAAGAGGTTAACAAAAATGGGTTATTAAGGAAATCAAAGTCTAGGAAATGGCCAAAACAGAGATCAGAGTAGTCACAAACTCTTCTTTGTAGTGATGTTAAATTACTGACAAATGTTTATTGAAAACAAAAAAATCTAAAAACCAGCACAAGCCAGTGGTGCTGCATATTATTTAAGCAACTGGCGTTCTTCAATGCTTTTGAGGCGTTTCTTTCGGGGCTGTACAAAGTCATCATCTGAATCATCACTGTATTTATTATCTTCTGATTCATTCCTGAATTCTGGTTTAGGAAATCTTTTTTCTGGATAGAGGTTCTTTAGAAGTTCTTCAAAATAATTTTCAAGTTTTATACCAGCATTAGCTACTTCTGAATCAGGCTGTTAGGTAAAAATATGAGTAAAACAAGGAATAAATCACACTTTTGACTTCTGAGATTGTACATATTAATGAGCTGTCTTGAAGAGTATAGCTCATTTGAAATGCATAGTCATTGAAATAAATAGTCTAGGACTAGGCAAAGTCTACAGAAGGTGAGCTAAAATAAAAGACTGACTTATTTAAAAAGATCTGGCTTATTCCAAAAGAAGGTGGTAATGGTAGGACTGTATTGCCAAAGATAGATCAGTTAAGATGCCGTAACCATAGGATCATGAACCAGGTATTTCTAGAACAAACTAAATGAAATATGTAGTACTTAGAATGAGTTAACAAACAGAACCGCCAGCAGCAAAAGCGTTCTGTCTGACAGATGTTTACATGAACTGACAGATGAGAAAGTTTTAAATTACAGCTATTTGGACCACATCCTTAGTATTTCAAGATCAACACAAAAAATAAGAAATAAAGGTGGGAATGATAAAAAATGTTTCTAGGTCAGAGAAAAATATTTTGTCTTTCAGTTATAGGCTGTGATTTGCATTTCAATCACCATCTAATAAACCTTTGAATATAAATGTGGGTAAAGTCATCTGAATTCTCCCCTGCATTCCCTGACCTGAAAAATTAGAAATTTATTCTAACACAGACCTCTTGGTATCCTCAATGTTGACAAGGTGTTTAGTGTAAAATGATTTTCACACTGCTATTCCTTCCTGCCCCATCCCATCCCCTCCCCTCCCCACCCCAGCCTCACCTCATTGAATTCAGCACAGTTTTGAAAGATCAATCTAAAATCAGCTACAAAATCTTCAGGTTTTGAGTACATGGAATAATCTTCTTGTAGTCTCTTCTTGATGGTTGACAAATCCATTGGATTTTTAATTATTTTGTAATAATCAGGCACCTTTCAAAATAAAATGAGATGCTATAATACAAATAGCTGAATTCTACATTGTCTTAAATACATTCTATAAGATGTGCTTATTTGGAATGTTCTCATTGCTCTTCTCTGTGCTATTTGTCATTAGTAAAGAAACACATTTAACAGTGTTTACAAGTGTGCACTGCACCTACCACACAATGGTAAAGGTTTGTGTGACTTTTTCCCAAAAAGTTTAACCAATTATTTTTGAGACAGGGTCTCTCTCTGTCACCCAGGCTGGGGTACAGTGGCACAATCTCAGCTCACTGCAAACTTTGCCTCCTGGGCTCAAGCAACCTCTTACCTCAGCCTCCCGTGTAGCTGGGGTTACAGGCATGCACTAATATACCAGGCTAATTTTTTTCTTGTAGAGACAGAGTTTTGCCATGTTGCCCAGGCAGGTCTCAAACTCCTGGGTTCAAGCAACCTGCCTGCCTTGGCCTCCCAAAGTGCTGGGATTATAGACATAAGCCACTGTGCCAAGCCCCAATTATTTTAATAAAAAAAATTATCTTCACATATCTCTCTTAAATCATCTAGGTTTTCCTTGTTCATTATTAAATAAAAAGCAATTACTAGAGAGTATCATTTCTAGTAGAATCTGACATGTTTTTGCTGCATATACTATAGCAAGTGGTAAAGAGGAAGGACTTTGGATCTGGGTTTAATCCCCGGCTCTGCTGCTCAGTATCATGATCCTGGTAAGTTACTTAACCTTGCTGAACCTTAGTTTCTTCATATTCCAAATAGGGATAATCCTACCAAACGCACAGTATTTTGTAGAGATTAAATGAGATGATATTTATTAAGAAAAAGGGGGCTACTTTGTCACTGTTGTTATTAACATAAATGGAAGCCAAGATAATAAAAAGCGCAATTCAAGGTTACATTTTCAAGTTGGTACTGTTGTTACAAGCCACTCTTAACTTCTTTACCCTGCCTCTTTTGGGTACAAAAGATCCTTCTCCCTGGAAGTATTTATTTCCTATATCCAGTTCTCAAAACCTGTTCTTAAGAAAGAAGCTATTTATCAGCTGAATTTATTTACTAAGCTGGTTTTCTTCTTCTAACTTGGGATTAATTTTTGAGATTTACCAAACTGTAGAACAAATTTATTAAATTTTAAAAGGAATTTCAGGCATTATAGAAGTTTTTTTTTTTTTTTTTTTTTTTTTGGGGGGGGGGGAGGCAGGTACTAGGCCCTTTCCAGTACTCTAAAATTTGTGTTAAAGTCACATCAAACTTTCATTATGAACCGTTTTGAAGTCAATAGTGTGTGTACACACACACACCCTTCCTCAACTTTTTTGTATTTTTAAAGTCTACTTATTTACTTGAAGTCTGGACCTATAAATAAAAATATAGAAAATTTTGCTGGGAGAGATGGATGATGTCTTTATTTCAAACAAAGTTCTTTTTCCAACAGCTTCGGAAACATGCCTAAAACTCCTGGGATACGATTAACAGAAATCATCCCAAACATCCCAGAGAACAGTAAGTAAAGTAAGAAAAGAAGAAAGAATACCTGAGAAATGAATACAAGTTTTGGGCCACTTACTGAAGTGTACCTATTTAGGATCAAAGCATTCACTATGTATTAATAAGCTTTAAGATTGAGATATTAAAAAGTACTGAAAAATGGCATTTAAACTAGATTCCCGTAACAAAATTCCAGAAAAAGCATTCCACTGTGTGAACATGCACAAATTGACATTAATACTTACAGTTAGAGGAACAGGGTCTTGAAAAGCCAGGCTCATTTCATGGCAGTAAAGAAATAAAAGTAGGCGCTCACACTTCTAAGCAAAAATAAAAATTGAGATAAAATATTTATAAAACAATTCATGGCTTATTTTAAATAATCTCAGAGGCCCCAAAGTGTCAGACTAAAAAAATCTGATGAATACAAAATTATTGATTCTTGGGGGTTTTCTTCTCCTTCCCAGTCATTAACTGAACTGTACTAGACAATTTAGGGTGTATGTGATATTTGACAGTCCCTGTAATTAAATGTACTAAGACAGTATCACTTATAAACCCATTTCAAGTTCTCTAACAATAAATTTATACTTATTGCCCCAGTCTATTATAAATTACTAATAGTCAATAAAGGAAGAACCCATGTCTCTTAGGAGAACGGGAGGTGGAACCTTTTCAATGTGCATCTAGACTTAAGGCACCTCTCTGCATGTAGAAGGTCCAACCATGTGCTCTGCTATTCATACTTCCCTGCTTATGGGTTTATCCCAGTAGACACTGAGTAGTACTGGCAGTGAATGGGTATGTGCCCTCTTGCATAACAACTTCCATACTATTATTCTACTTAATAATTTTGCAAAGGGGTTTCTTTGGTAACAAAGTGTTGACTGGGTAGCTGTAAATGTTATTTACAGTTAAATATATCAGGTGGCTTTGATGCATAAGCCTAGTCCCATTCAGTTTAAAAAAAAAAAAAAAAAAGGAATTATTTCCAGGAAGAGTGAAGAAAAAACCCAGCTCCTTGTTGGCAATTCTGAGGAAAAAACTTATCTATGGTAGAAATAAAACAAAATAGAAATTTACTTAAGGTAGATTAAATTTAAAAGTCAAGGTACATATTCCATTTTGTTCAGGTACAATAAGTTTCTATAAAATACATGCATAATTCTATGATTTTTTTTTTTAATTTAAAGAAAGTTTGTAAGATTCATATACCTTTGTGAAAAAAAATACACCTAAATAAGAGGATCAGTATAAAATCTGATTGGATATACACCTCTTTGATGAAAGGCACCACAGTAAAATATTGCACTACAATATAATAATGCATCTTACCAAAAAAATTGTCTAAAAGACTTACCCTTTTATCTATAGGCGTTAATTTAACAAGGCCTTCAGTTTTCCTTTTTTCTGAGTTGTGACTGGGAGCATCACAATCATATTCAACTTCTGGTTTAGATAAGTCTCGGCAGAAAGTGCAAATCCACTCTCCACTGTTGGGGACAATGTACTTTTGAATTCCTAATGCATCATTTCCTCTCTTCACTATTTCCCTTTCCCACCTCCTCCATTATATCTATGATACAGAGTTGTTTATTTGGCATGAATTTTAATCATTGAGCATTTACCACATACCTACTAGGTATACTGCACCATGCTGAAAGGAAACAGCAGAAATATAATGCAAGGCCCTAAGTTAATATCAAAATCTAGTTAAGAAGGCATGAGATACATATATGGAAAAAAAACACCTAAATAAATTAACACATTAATCTAGGGCTCACATATCTAGGGCATAATTGAATTTGTCCCCCAAAGGATTCAGGAATCAGCAAAGCTCTTTGTACTGTTCCTGTTACTCTAAGTTTATAAAATTAAATTTTCAAAAGTACAGCCTTCAAAGAACTGAGAGATCAACCCATTGGCTCTTAACCATCTTGGTCATGCTGATGATAATCATCATGCCACAGGGTTTGAGAATTTACTTGAATTACTTATAAATGATATTTTGGTGCCTGGCAAAAATATGTAATAAACTGTGGTAGCTGTTATGCATAAAGACATTATTCCTTATGGTGACCCCCTGTGATGATTTAAAGGACGTGGTTTTTTTTTTTTTTTTTTCCTCCTTATATTGACTAGGGAGAGGGTCTTGCTCTGTTGCCCAGTGTGGAGTGCAATGGTGCAATCACAGCTCACTGCAGCCTCAACCTCCCAGGCTCAACCAATCCTCCCACCTCAGCCTCCTGAGCAGCTGGGACTATAGGCATGTACTACCACACCTGGCTAGTTTAAGTTATTTGTAGAGACAGGGTCTCCCTATGTTGCTCAGGCTGAATGATTAATTTTTGGAGAGAAGCACAAGGAGTAAGTGGTAGGGTATGGGAAACCCTAGACTATTCATTTGGATTTTGGAATATACATTTGTGCCAAGTGGAATTTAAGTTTTTACAAAGGCTTTCTGTTAAAATAATTTTCAAAAGTTTACAGTAAAACAACGTGGGAAGGAAAGTACTATCTTACCTTGGAAAATTTGTCAATGTGGGCACATGACAAGAAAGATGGAATACTTTGGGGCACTTTTCACAGCACAGGAGTTCCCCTCCATTTTGACAAACTGCACACCAGTCCTCATTTGGGTCATCTTCTTTCCTTGTCTCTCCAACGTGAAGGGGTGACTTCTGGGAAGGATCCAGCCACTCAGACTTTCCATTCGAGGAATTCTCCTGGTGAAGTCCAGGTTGATCTCCTGTACTATCAGGGGCATCTGATCTTAGCACAGTCTCCTCAGAAGTAGAGCTCTGACTGCTATTTAAGAGCAGGGAGGTGAGTATGCTTCTTGGATAATTGGCCTGCAGTAGATTAAAAAAATTTTTTATCACTACTGCAATTCTGAATTATAAACCACTCTGTAATGAGCACCTGGCTGCTTCAAAAGAATCTTAATGAGAATAGTATATGTTTACTGCTAACTGGTATAGAAGACATGGACCTCTACTAAAAAATATCAAAATACAAAAAAAATCTTTGACTCTGCTGATGGCTACAGAAATTAGAAAATGGGTGGGGAGGGTGGAAAATCAACCACATGACCTATAAATATACTTCACTGGAACTGTTCATTCAACTTATACCTAAGATAGAAAAGTTGTAAGATGAATCTAAATTTTCTGTTGGAGCCCAGGATGGCAAGAATTTCAAATCAATAACAAAAATTATCTCCTTCAAATATGTTTTCAAAAATTTCAAAGTAATAACTGTAGATATAGTTAAAGCACTCATTCCTTTGAAGTACTATTTTCAAATCTAGCTTTTTCTTCTGCCGTTTACCTCCATATTTCTAAACAAAATGATTGTTAAAAATTGCAATACATCTATGATCCTTACTAGTAGAAGATCAAGAGATTAGGTTTTTACATCCTGATTTTCCCACCTCGTTCTCCTTCCATTTATACATACACAAAGCCACCACCACCATTCACCCCATCTTTTTAACATCATTTTTATGAAGCATTGATTTTTTAGTTGGTAGGTGCCAGTATAACTGTTTATTGCCAGTATCTATTCCAACTGACCAGAATTTGTACTGGTTAAGTATTCTGAAAAATCACAATTTTTGGTTAAATGCATATTCAGTTTATATCCTGATTGTGTCACAGTTCTAGTTACATTTGTACTCTGGTGTTTGTTTATTTCATTATGACTGTAAATATTGTTCACTGCAGACCCCAAAAATGTACTATGACATTTCTTTTTTTTTTTTTTGTAAACTTCTTTTACTAAGACTCAGTAATTACCTTATTTTTTCAGTTGCTTGTTTTTCTAGGTACATATTTCTATGTCATTCTCACAATCTACAATAGGAGATTCTCAATACTGTTGAAGTCTTTTTCCCCCTTTAGATACATCCCTTTGAGTCCTATGTCTTCCTGCTACAGACTGTACTGCACAAGCTGCTGCTGCTGCTGTACTGGGGCTTGCCCTTTTCTTCTGTGTCAGATTCCATTTTTGGGATCTTATGTCTTCCTCTTTCTTGTTTTACTATATTTTTGATGATTCATATCATCAATTATCTTTGTGAGAATGAGTACAGAAGAATTATTTTAAGAAATTGAACAAAAATGTATTTTCATGTCTGATTAATAATTTGCCTGGGTATAAAACTGGTTAGAGAATATCTCATTTTCAACTTTCCAGGTTCCATATTTGAGCCTCAGGTTTTTAAAAACCTTTCTGTTTTTCCATCTTTGCTTTTTAATTTACTGAGAGTTTAATATAACATTACAAAAAAAAAAAAAAACAACCCTCCTAAGAGCTATTTAAAAGTTTCTCTCACCCTGCCCACCATGCATAGGAATAGTATTGCAAGCCTTCATATAATTACATTTTGAGTCCTGGATTCTTCATCTGATTCTTGCTTCACTATAACAACAGGGAAATCATAATTTTCAGGTGGTCCACTGTTTTCTTGTTTTATTCGAATTGGCTCCAACATTACCACTGGGACTTTGTGTGTAGAATCAGCTCCTGCTGGTTTGCTGGAAGAGCCAGAGCTATAAGTATGAAAGAGAAGAAAAAACCATCTAAGAATGTGAAGCTAAATACCTCATAAAAAAGTATAACAACAACTTTCTAAAATAATACTGTATTTTCACAACAATAATTACATCAGGAACTAATGCTACATAACTGAAATGTAACTGCTCTGAGTTTCATTTACGATAAAAATGTTTTATATATTAACCTATTTAAATAGTTAAACATCTGGAAAGATATTTCAATAAACCTAAATTTTTTTAAAAACTGAGGCTTTACAATTAGGCAACCAGATTTAATATCTTAGAACTGGCATTTGATTTTAGGCTTTCTCATTTACTTCTCTAGTCAGTAGCAAAGTAAACTCTAGGCTCACATTAACACTTTGTCAGTGTCTAAAGACAATGAAATAATCATTTATTTAAACAATGTTATTTAAAGAAGGTAATGGGACAAAAACCTTTTACAGATATTCCCTATGTTCTCATGGGATTAAAGGCAAACTTTTCTCCCTGAAACAATTCTGCCACATGATTAAGTAAGAATTGGGTTCACTAGCTAGGAGGAATTTTTAGGCATAATGCAGGGAAGGAAGAGCAGCTGCTGAAAACAGAATTTCAATAACTGTGCATTTATTTATTTTAAAGTAGAATCAATTTTTCATCATGAGATCAAATTAGCATAAAACTATCTTGTTCCTAAGTTTGTGTTTCCATATAACGTACTGTGTTATATCTATTCATTCTTATGTTTTCCTTGCTATTATGTGAATATCAGACATTTCTTATTTTCAACATATATTCTTCTATCTTCAAAGGTAAATTTGTACTTTAATCTCTTAACTAATTTATTAACTTAAAAGTCATTAAAATTTTAATTAAAAATAGAAGAAATTGTTCAAAATATATTGAGTATCAAAACATGTTGAACACTGGCAATAGAAATCTAGTTAGAGATTTTATGTACTAGAAAATACGGTTTAGTCAGTTTACCTTCCTCGGCTTCCAACGCTGGAGGCACTAGGTGAACGTATTGGGGGGTGTACACTAGTCATAGTAACAGGTCCTGAGCAGGGAGAAATCAGACATAAAACAAAGGAATAATTATGCACTGAAGTCCTATTGAATGTGTTAACTTAGCACTATATTGAAACTAGGAACCATAATGAAATTCTATGAAACAGTAGTTGCTGAATTGTCAGTAGTCTGTTACAGCCTGTTATACTGGCAGGGTTTTTCAACCTCTGCACTACTGACTTTTGGGCCAGATAATTCCTTGTTGTGGAGGAATGTCTGTGCATTATAGGAAGTCTGGCAACATCCCTGGCCTCCACCAATTATTAGATACCAGTGGCATCTCTCTATACTTCCCAGCTTGAGGTGCAACAATCAAAAATGTCTCCAAACACTGCCAAGTCTTTCTGTATTAGAGTAACAGGGGTAAGACCTTAGTGAGACCCTAGTGGCAGTGAAAGCTACAGAAGACAACAGAAGGTGGTATAGGTTGATTGATAGAAAAAGGAGTTCAAAAAAGAAAACCATGTAAACAAAAATGAGACCAACTAATGGAAGACACAAAGTCAGATCAATGAGTTCAGACTTGAGGCAATAATCAAAAGAGGGATTCTGGACTACTGCCCTAAAAATGATAATAAAGAAGCTATGCTCTGGTGGCACTGTAGACTAGAACAAGGAAAATCTAACTAAAAGCAGCCAAGAAAGAAGAAAACAAAACCTGCTGCTGCTAATTTTGATTTGAATTGATGAAGGCCCAAACTAAACAGTAGCAGTAGGAACGCAATGCAAGTGGGAAGTAGAAAAAAAATTCAAAGTGACAAAAGTTCTAAAGGGTCTGATGAACAACAGGATATGGTTGATAAAATGAAGAGAAAAAAATTCCATTTCATTTGTTTGTAAACTCTGGAGAATTTCATTTAAAATTAAAACAAAAGTCCTGGACAACAAAGACCTGTCTCTACAAAAAAACTAAAAATAAATTTAGCCAGGCCTGGTAGCACATACCGATAGTCCTAGTTACTGGGAATGGTAAGGCAGGAGGATGGCTAGAGCCTGAGTTTGAGGCTGCAGTGAGCCATGATTGCTACACCCTGGGTGACAGAGTGAGACTTTGCCTCAAAATGAATCAGAACAATGGCTATTTATACTCTTCTGATAATACAAGAATACATGCTTCATTTTAGAATAGCTGAAAACTTTTTATAAAGATATAACATTCAAGCAGCCTATAACTTTTGCATCCATATATAAACACTGGTAAGGTTCATATATATCTTTCCAGTTTTAACATACTTTTACATCTTTTATATGGTTCTACATACTTGTTTTCACTAAACAGTATACCATGAACATGCCATAAAACTCTATATAAGGACTGTTTGAATAGCTAATGAATACTCTGTTTATAAGTGAGCACATTCTAATTTATCATTCTCTTATATTTAGGTCATTGCTTCAAAATTTTTACTGCAAATAATGGCTTTAAAAAAAAAAAAGGAAAACAATGAAGCTTTATTAGTATTAGGCTCATTCCTGGGAACATAAGGAGGAGGGGTTGAGATGCAGTTCACATACCAACCCAATTAGGTTTCAATTAGGTTTGCTGAAACCAGGAGCCAATCAGAAAAAACGTGACATTTACAAAACTCTGAAATAGTTGAATAGCAACTGTGTTGACTAATTTTAAGATTCCTTTCAAAAAGTAATTTGTCCATTATTTGGAAGCCGCCTGTCTTGATTATAGTACTGGGGAATGGAAACTGGAATAATAATAATGCTTTAGTAAATCATAATAATATAAGTATTAATAAATATGTTCTGCCTATCCAGTTTCTAATTATTTCCTTATAATTGGAGTATTAAAATGGAATTACCATGTTCAAGGGTACATACACTTTCTAAGCCCCTTAAAGCAAATATCCTACTAGGTAATACACATATAAGGTACTTTGCCCAGTCTGGCTCACAGTCCAATACCGGGTAAATGTAAACCTTAGTAACATTGCTATGATGGTTTCCAGAAATGTTTTGACAAGTCAAACACATCCCACCTATGTATGAGAGTACCTCTTATTACATTTTCAGTGACTACTTTTATTATTTAAATCTTAACTAATTCAGTAACTTAGAAATTATATCTTGTTTGGATTTTTCTTATGATCACTAGTAAGAATGACATTTTTTGTCTCATCTGCTATATTGGCTATATGTATTTCCTCTTTAGGGAATTACCTACTTACTGATCATGTCCTTTGGCAATACCACAAATGTTCCTTATTTGTATAAACTTGTCATATGATAAACAGTTTATCTGCCATATTGTCCTAAGTTTGTTTAAAATAAGCATCCCCATTTAAATTGTGTTCATGTGACTGGTGAGTGACTTCAGAAATTCTCCTCTTTTCATGTTTTGGTTTAAGGTACCTATGTCCTCAGAAGTAATATTACAGTTTTCCTCTCAGAGAAAATGAGTAGGTATGTTAAGATTCACAAACGAAATTAAACACCAAACAAATCACCAAAAGAGTGATAACTCTACTTATTGTCACTAATAAATTTTGATCCTAGGCAAATTACATCTTAAAAAAGTCCACATCACAGGCAACTTATCAATGAGAGAATATAATACTGATTTGCCCCCTGGAAGTACCATAATGGCCGGAAGTTCTGTTGAAATTGAAAAAGTAAAGAAGGTCTGCTGTGATGGCTTATGCCTAATCCCAAAGCTCTCCGAGGCCAAGGCAGAAGGATCGCTTAAGGCCAGAAGTTCAAGACTGTCTTCTACCAAAAAAACAAAATAGCCACGTGTGATAGAGCGGCACACCTGCAAGGAGTCTCAGTTACTCAGGAGGCTGAGGTGGGAGTGAGTCTGCAGTGACATATGATCACACCACTGCACTCGAGCCTGGGCAACAGAGCAAGACCGTGACTTGAAAGAAAGAATGAAAAGATAAAGAAGTTTAACTTTTGTTTACTTTGAAAGCATACTAATTTTAAATAGTTGAAAAACTCAGATTAAGCATCAAACAAGGAGGAGAAGAGGGGTAATTTTTTATTCCAAGTAAAGTGAAAACTAGAAAACCTTTCACAAAAATCAAAAGAAGTCCACTTTACCTGCTAGGCCTGGAGATGGCACTGATGAATTTGGTGACTGGACCGTTCTGTTTGAGGGTGGTCTTGGCTGGCCATGATCTATATTAGTATCTTTCCTCACAATATTGTCCAGTATAATAGTACTTGAACAGTCAATCTTACAAGAAAAGAAATTATTTCAGGCATTCTGACTTTGCAAGTTAAAAGCTACTTTTAAATTTATAAGAAAACGTCAATAATTATTATGAAACAAAAAATAAATACCACATTTGAGAAGTTCTAATAAACATTTTCCCCATAAACAATGCTGAATAAAGGTTTCCACTATCTTAGTATTTCACCTTAGTAAAATATTGAGGACACTATTTCAGAAACAAGAGCCAAAAGAAAGGAGTATCAGGTCATTCACATTCTTAAAAATTGAAAAAAAATTTCTTCATTTAAAAATAAACAACAAAAGGTTGCTATATGAAAAACACAAACTTGGTGAGAAGACTATCACAATTTCACATTTCTTGCAAATCTCTAATGTCTCCCTAAACAGCATTCAATCTATTGTAGTGTACGGTTTTCAATCTAGCCTCACACAGATAGGACTTAGTAGACCCTCTGAAGGGGATACTTACACAGACTGATGCTCTGCTCTGGGTATGTGCCAGATAGGTGAAGTCCATATATCTCCAGTACTAACCTCAACAGTAATGTATCACTAAATACATTACTGTTGTTTTGTAGGAGAAAAGGTGAACCCTACAGATTCTTGCTTTACGCTGGGTGGGGTGGCTCATACCTGTAATCCTAGCACTTTGGGAGGCTGAGGCAGGTGGATCACCTGAGGTCAGGAGTTTGAGACCAGCCTGGTCAACAAGGCAAAATCTTGTCTCTACTAAAAATACAAAAATTAGCGAGGTGTGGTGGCACACACCTGTAATTCCAGCTACTCGGGAGGCTGAGGAAGGAGAATCGCTTCCAGCTGGGAGGTGGAAGTTGCAGTGAGCTGAGACTGCACCACTGCATTCCAGCCTGCACGACGGGAGTGAGACTCCATCTCAAAAAAAGAAAAGATTCTTGCTTGAATGTAATAGGAATACAAATAACACTGCTTTTCCTAATTCATTGCCAGGCTAAAATACTTACAAATCCCTAATAAGAGTTTAACACTTTAGACACTAAAATTATTTCATGCCTACAAAGAACAAATTTTCCACCAATGTTTTTGTGCTTTTCCAGTTCAATTCTTTAACACAGTTTGTATATAATGAATTACTTTCTTGCTTATGCACCTAGAATGGTACTAGTTATGAAACATCTTTGGGAGAAATCAGAAAATGGTCACTCATTTCAGTTTATTCTGTAATCCAAATGAGGAATTTCAGGTAATAAAAAGGTTCACCTCTGAGGACTGCAGAGCAAAAAGCAGAATGACAATTTTACTTTCTGTGGGTTCTCTTTCATGGGGGCAGGGGAAATCAGGGCAGGTGGTTAATACACAGGGTCATTTTTGTTTAAATATTCTTTTGGCAATACATGGCCAGTATTTCTCAGAGAGTACAAAATGTACTAGAATAACTAAATTTGTGAGAACTTAAACAAGGAAAGTTGTTTACATTGTGGAATAATCCTAAAAGCCAAATAAAACAATGGGGATTAGATGTAAGTTTTCCTATGTACCATCCATGCATGAAAAAATAGATGTATTATACTCATTTAAAGTATACAAAACTATTTAAAAAATGCAATGATTCTGGTAAGATTAACAATGCAACTATTAGGAAATATGAATTGATCCAATTTGAAAAGCAAATTAAATAATGAAAATAAAGTTCTTTTCACAATCTTATAGGTAATTTGATCCAAGTAAGGAATACATGATATTTCCTAAAAGCTTCTTAATGTTAGGTTGTGTATGTATATGTGCATGACAGTCAGTTACCTAACCTGAGATTAAAAAAGGACCAAACACAGAATCAACATATACATGGAGATCTGTCTACAGAATGTAGTAATTTCTGCCTATGGAAAAGTCACACTGGCTGGGTATAGTGGCTCATGCCTCTAATCTCAGCAATTTAGGAAGCCAAGGCAGGAGGATCCCTTCAGCCCAGGAGATCAACACCAGCCTGGGTTAACATAGGAAGTCCCCCATCTCTATTAAAAATAAAAATCATTTAAAAATACAACAATAAATAAAAAGTCATACTGACAAAGAGTTTGGAGAGTGAGTTTAATTTACATATAATATAAACCAGAGGTAATTTTGCACTTCTCAATATGATCTAACAGGATTTCTATTACCAAACTTGTCTTCATCTCTTCTGATGTCCAGCCATTCAACTTTCCAGCGTATCTTTCCATGTCCTTTCTTTTCTTCTTTCCCAGGTTAGATTCCATGATCCATCATCATAATCATTCATTTACAAATACCTTTAACTCTGGTGCCTTGAAAGACATTAGGTTATGTGTCCAATGTTCATAACCTTTTTATTTTTACTACTGTTGTAATATTCTAAAGGATTAAAATTAACTTGTAAAAACAACCTATAATGTAACAAATTCATGCCTTCTACTACATTCAAATTCACTGACAATTTTCTTTCTTTCTTGAGACAGGGTCTCGCTCTGTTGGTCAGGCTGGAGTGCAGTGGCATAATCTCAGCTCACCACAGCCTCTGCTTCCCAGGCTCAAGTGATTCTCCTGCCTCGGCCTCCCATATAGCTGGGATTACAGGCATGTGCCACCATGCTTGGTTAATTTTTGTATTTTTTGGTAGAGATGGGGTTTCACCATGTTGGCCAGCCTGGTCTCAAACTCCTGACCTCCAGTGATCCATCTGCCTGGGCCTCCCCCAAAGTGCTGGGATTACAGGAGTGAGCCACTGCACCCGGCCGACAATTTTCAATAGAAATTAGTATAAATTTTGTGTTTACTTACATCTGGAAGAGAGGGAAGATTATAAGAACCTCCCACTGGTGAGCTCAAATCGATCATAGGTGAACCAAAAGCCTTTCCATCATATCCTGCTGCACTAGTAATTGTGGGGCTGGAAGGAGTAGAGGATGTGCTGTTGGTAGTTGATGGGGCACCCTGTCCACTGCTGATCTGCCACTACAGTAACAAGAAGGGAAAAAAAAGGGCTATCAACAAGCTTATAAAAATATAACGTCTATCTAATCACACACATACAAAATGAAGTAGAAGAGTGCAACTGTAATTTACATGGAAGGTGAATGGGACAGGGAGACTGCATTAAGTACATATAATTTTCATTAATCCTGTAAAAACAAAAACAAAACAACCAAACAAAAAAGCACTGATTTTTGCTGGAAGACAACATGTAGTATATACCAGAAAATCGCAGTACACAATCTTGACAGGTTTATACATACTTGAAAAAAAAAAAGTAAATATATACATAGCAACTACAAGGTAAAGATGGAGGGTTGAAAACATACATTTCTTCTATCCCTGTCTGAAACACTTGAAAATAATAAGCTACAGACTAGTGCTTTCAGGATTTTATGTTCCTCTTTCTCATATATGAACATAATTAGACTTCGATAAATATCTGAGGAAAGTACTGTCAGTCATGCTGAGATAAACATATTAACTAAGATGACAGGCATGCTGAAGTATGTAGAGGTGATGCATGCTGCTGTCTGCAATTTACTTCAAAACCTATTGAAAAATATGATGGGCCAGGTGCAGTGGCTTGCGCCTATAATCCCAGCACTTTGGGAGGCTGAGGTGGGCAGGTCACTTGAGGTCAGGAGTTCAAGACCAGCCTGGCAAACATGGTGAACTCCATCTCTACTAAAAAATACAAAAAATACAAAAATTAGTCAGGTTTGGTGGTGGGCATCTGTAATCCCAGCTACTCAGGAGGCTGTGGCAGGAGAATCACTGGAACCCAAGAGGCAGAGGTTGCAGGGAGCCAAGATCGCACCAGTGCACTCCAGCCTGGGCTACCGAGAGCAAGACTCCATCTCAAAAAAATGAAAAAATGAAAAAAAAAAGAAAAGAAAAATAGGAGGATTTGATGAATAGACAAAGGAATAAATATGCAATAAGGCAAGTAGAACAAAATTTGAACAAATGTTTCCTATGTAATTCTTTCAATTTTTGTTATGTTTGAACATTTTCATGCTGGGAGAAGGAAAGTAACTAAGCGGTACTGCAAGATGCTGTATTTTCCCAAACACAGTCATTCATAAACGAACAGCGCTATATAGAGAGACAGTGTCTGAAACATTTTAATTTTGAAAAACCTAATTTATATATTCCATTGTAAAAACTACATACAGAAGCATATGAAGTTGCGTATGAATGTCCTCTTTACCACCTACTCCTTCCTCATATTCCTCACCCCTATCCCCCCCCACACACACCTTTTCCTCCTTCTCTACCAAGAACAATCAGTTGGTGGATCTTTTCAGGTTTGTTTCCTATGTACATGATGAGACTGGAGGAAAATACACACAAACAAATAATACCTCACAAAAATTCTACATGTTTTTCCTCACATAATTTACTCAGAAAATCATATCTAGATTATTGATTTTCTTTTTTTTTTTTTTTTT